TGATGTTTCTTTCCAATTAACCCTATGTAATAACTTCAGTACAGTGCATATTATCACTACCTCCAGTGATAATATGTACTGTATGCTGTATATTAACTAGACCTGCAAATGCAGACTGACAGAAAACAACATTAAAAATTAAAGTTTATGTCTTAAAAAGAATACAAATTTCAATATAAACTTAACTGTCTATGTGTGACTGGTGATGATTGTTTTAACATGCTTGTTCTTTTGTCAGTGAAGGTGCTCTCAGTGAGTTGAGCTAAGAGCAGCAATATTTTGTAAAAATATTAATCAAGTGTAAATTAAAAAATATGGTGCAGTAAAACGACTCCCAAGCCACATTTAATAAAGGTAATCTGATGTATAAGTTATCAGTTTTGTCACACTAAGGTTTTAAAATCTAAATTATATATTCAAAGTATATACAGTATGATAGATTAAGTAGTAATATATGTTTTATAATTGTCATATATTTTTCATATATCTTTGGTATTTATTCCAAGATCTAACCTAAAACTTTTAAGCAGAAAACCTGCTGAGCAGGTTACTACAAGCCCAATTTTAGCTTATGCTACCTACACGATTTCAGCAAAGATTAAACTTCCGCAGTGTCGGCAATATGCAAAATGATTATCAGGAGGCAATGCCTCATCAACTTTTATATCTTTATCAAAGTATTCGATTACAAGGTCTGTCTCTTCCGCAATTTTTTTTTTTTCCTTTGGAAAATCTGAGAACTGCTTTTCAAGCACATTTGCCTTTTCATCTCTAATTCCCCCTGGACTCTTAGTGAATCTCATCCCTTTACAGCGACTCCTTGCTTACGTTCTTCTCTCTTACCACATTACACACTTGTTGATGTGTAGTCAGGACAAACCTGCTTACAAAGGACATTTTCGAGATATAATGTCATATCCAGTGCCTCTCGCTGCACACAGCCTTGTGTTACATACTCTGTTGATATTCCTCCAGGAAAGGGCAACAAGGAGATGTTCTTTCGTATACTGATATGCTTAAACACCCTGACATCATCAGTAATGGGCAAGTGCAAGCTGGCAGGAGAAATGTCATAATCTCTTCCAGGGATACAAATAATAACACCATGTACAGTTTGGGTTACGCTCCACTCTGGCAATTGGTGTTCTTGTAATTTTCAAGTCTGCACATGGCAGTCGGTTGATATGTGGTCGGGTTTTTGCTGGAGTACCAAATACCAGAGCAGCCACATTAAAACAATCACACTCTGTCCTCTGGGGTGGAGGGCTTCCTCTGTCTGCCAAGGTGCTTGTGAGGGCCAAAGCCCTAATAATGACCTGCAATAAACACCGTGCAGCTGGTGTGTCTCCTGGGATTTCGATAGATGAGGGTGAAAGCCATATGTGAATACGCTGCTCATAACTTTAGGTTGCAGCTTAATGCTATGTTGGTAAAACAGCCTCTTGACATGCATACTGCTGAGAAGTTTGCATACACACATCACAGGCATGAATCTCATATTAGTTTGGGGCTTTGAAAGATGCATTTGAATGATGGGGTTTTTTTCAGGGTGGAAGGATTATGCAACAGAACAACTACATTGATTTCTAAAACCAAAACATTTGGCAAACACTTGTATTGTTGATTTTCTCCAATCCACACATGGTTAAAATTATACAAACAAGCTAAATTACAGAGGAGACTAACCTCCCTGTTAAAAAATACAGGTTTTTGTGATTTGACTAAACTTTTTCCACATACATGACATTCACAGAATTACTGAAATCTGTTGGGGGGTCTGGAGGTTCTGGTAATGTATAAATATGCCCAACCTCTGCTAATACTTTATAAATGTTCTGATTGAGTTTTATCTTTTTGCATGCAACCAACATGGATGATATTTAATCTAGTTTTCTTAATGATTTTAAAAGCTTAGGAACAGCAGAAATTTACAGTGATTTTATTTTTTACATATACAACATTCTCGAACTCTTTACATTTCAGGTAAGGGGTAGAATAAGCCGGGTTGAAAGACCGAAGGCTTTTCTTAAGGAGCAAACATTCAGTATTGCCTGAAATTATTAAAAACCCTGTGAGAGAATGGGTATTTAGAAAAATAAAATTGATGAGCTTCATCAAAGATCTTAATCAAGCATAGCAATAATAACCGCATGATACTGCACTGTAAAAACGATCTACAAATAAGTACAAATTTCTTAAGCTAAGTTTATTTACCCTTAATTTGAGTAGGTAAATGAGAAAGTTTGCCAATGTAGGGAGTATTTTTACTCTTAAAATAATATTAGATAATATGCACTTGAAATAAAACAATGCAATTTTGTTTTCTTATTTTAAATGTAAAGTATCTTGTTCTATTGACAAAATGTCTTCTTTACGTCCCCAATTCAAGAACAAATGCAGTTATTTTAAGAAAAAATGACTTATCTAGATTTCGTTCCAGTGTGAAGATTTATCAACAAGAACTCAAGTTTGTGTAACAGTGGGTGATATCATTAGATGATTGAAATACCTATGATCTTTGGCTCAGATCCTTCAGATATATATTAGGAAGTGGAGGAAAAATATATGCGATACTGACAGACTCTCATAAAAAAATGAATGAATAAAAGCATTGCTGAAATTTTAATTGAGGTACTTTCTGTAAAGTTCAGTTTTGAATTGCTGTACTGTTTTAAGTTGTTTTTCTGAAAAGTTTATTTGAAATGCTTCATAATCATATTTGAAATGTAATTGCGTTGTGTAAATATGTATACCAAGGGTGTAACTTTGTAATGAAAGTTGGTGGGGATGTTTTAAGGGTGGCGCACTGGAAAAATGATCTTGAAATGTCTTAACTTGTGTATTTATTTATGTATTTATCCTTAATTTGAGTTGGTAAATGAGATAGTTTGCCAATGGAGTAAGTATTTTTACTCTTAAAATAAGATAATTAGATAATATGCACTTGGAGTAAGACAATGCAATTATGTTTTCTTATTTTAAGTGTAAATTGTCTTGTTACATTGGCAAAATGTATCTTTTATTTCCTCAATCCAAGAACAAATACACTTATTTTTGGGAAAAAATTACTTAACTGTATTTAGATTATTTCCATTGCGGCTAATGGACCTACAGTTACTCAACACAAACGCTTTCAATAGGGTTTGTATTCTCCAAAAATGAGCTCAAACATATATTTATTGAATGCTTTCATATTGTTGAGAACACAAAAAACAAAATACACTGATATTTATGGGTAGTTAGACATTAATGTATTATAAAAAGATAAATAACAGCCGATTCAAATGCCAACAGCAATATATTATGCTTCCCTTGTATGTACACTATTTCAGTTTCATTCATCCATCCATCAATCCATCCAGAAAAATGTGGATTGATAGATGGATGTTTCAGTTTGGTATATAGACAATT